TGGTGTCCGTGGCACCTCTTTAGCATCTCTGTGCCAGTCTAGCTTTTTCACTGCCTTGTCTTCAAGGGACTACGTGAGACTCTGAAGGGGGTTTGATCTTTGCTGAAATTGCAGATATGATGATAACTAGTCGGCTTTCTAGATGCTTGTCCTTAAGCAGGGATTAAGAATAGTGTTTTGTGGCTAATTGAGCATGATTGCAGATGTCAGAAAGCCTTCTTCATTAGGTGGTGAAATAATATCCCTGAAAGTTTCTTGCACCTCTACCATGAAGAGTGAGTTACTGCTATCTTAATTTTAAATCTGACTTCTGCCTGTTTGACTTTTTCCTTCCTTTGCTTGCTTTATTCATTTTTGCATATTTCTGTAACAGCTCTGGTTCTTTAGAGAATCTTCCATTGGACATAGGGGCTGGTGGGACTGGAGAATCTTGCTGCTGGAGATTTAGCTCTAGTGTTCTCCTCTGGACATGGATCAGGGTATGCAGCCTTGAATGAAAGGAAGGTTCAAGCTGGAGCTACAGTCAGGGACTGTAGGAATCAGTCATCCCTGTGCATCTTGTTTGATGCTTGGGAAGTCTGCATGGGTGTGAATACAGGTGAACTTGTGCACTAAGTGCATCAGGAGAGAGATGAATCTGATGTGTAAGTGCTGTGTCTGAGCTGTGCTACCTTACTCCACAACTGCAAGACTTGTGTCCTGGAGCTGGCTTGAGTATGGGATTGCTGTGCAGCACTGGAGTGTGCAGAATGCCTGAAGACTCACTGTGACACAGTTTTAACATGTGTAAAACCAGAACACTAGAGCTTACGCCTATCCCAAAGATGCTTGTGATGAGCCATGGAGGAAGGAGTCACTAGGTGAGGAGTTCTCACAAACACTTGGAAAATATGAAAGGACCTTTGTTACTAGGTTGGTGCAAAAAACCTCATTAGTAGAGTTCTTTTCCTGTACTAAGAGTTTCTAGAAAACTTTTTTCCAGCCCCAGATAGCCATGATTGGAGGGTGCTCTAATTTTCTTTAAAATGAAGTGAGGTAAAGCTAAACATTTGTTCTTGAATGATACAGGCTAAAACTCCCTTTTTCTCAAGATAAGGTCCTCTGCCTTATTTACTTTCTTTTCCTCTTACAAAAAGTGATTTAAGGAAGGCAGAATTTCAGTAAATAACCCTCATGGGTTATTTGCTGAAACCTGGTATTGGCTTCATTTGAAAACCTTGACTACAGTTGAAGAGACCAGTGGGTGTTTGAACCGCTGTAGCGTGAACATTGCTCACAGAAGGATGTGGAGCCTAGTGTCTAGAATTGAAAAGCTTTTTAGGAAGTTGGTGAATGCTCTAAACCAAAACACTTCCGATTTTAAGCTGGGCTTCAGATTTTAAGCTTACAGTCAAGAGGCAATGGGAACAGTGCAGGATGTCAGTGAATATGCTAGAGTTTGGCACTTGGCCTCACCGCCTCCCAGTGTCTGGAGGAGCAAGGAACTGTAGCTGTTTGTCCCGCTTCATCTTGTGAGAGGGTTAAAACTGTTTCAGCAAGGAGTAAGCTGTGAGTAGTTGCTGTAGTTGTAGAACAGACTTAAAAGCCTGAGGCTGAAGAGTGTAACTAGAGAAAGAGACTTTGCAAGGTGGATAGATGCTACCTTGGAGTCCAGGGCAGGTCTGCTGTTCAGGAGGTGCCCCCCTCTCCCAGCTGCCTGTTCCCTCTGCTTGCTTTGTACCAGGAATTGTGCTTGACAGTTCCTTTGCCTCGCTGAGTCAGTGTGCTGAGCCCTTAGAGTGAGGGGTTTGGGTGCAGATGGAGGGAGTGAGAGTGGGGGGCTGAGCGGGAGTGTGTTTTCAGCAGCAGTTGAGCATTAGACTGGCTGTGCCTTCTCATGAAGCTTCACCCCTAAGAAAAAGCATTTTGTCCCCTGCTTAAAGTCCTTCTTCCTGGAAATCATTCCTGACTTCTGTAAGCATGCCACTGCTGCATGCTAGCAGTCCCTCGTCTTTCTCAAAGCCAACTCCACTGAGGTTATTATCTCTTAAGAGCCATAAATGAACTCTTAATTCTTTGACTTTCATTCAGTGATGAAACTAACTAATTGATTCTATAAAATATATAGTACTTGTAGTATGACATATAAATGTGGCTGTTGGAACCTTAACATTTGCATTACTGAATTTAATTTTTTCGTCCCCCCCTTAATGCTTCACTAATAAACTACATAAAATGTGTTACTTGGATACATTCAAATGCATATTTCTTGGACATAAAACTACCGCTCAGTGACATGCCAAGTACCACTTCTCTCAGGTAACTAACATCTTGTAAATCCATTATTTGTGCTCCTGAGCACATGAAGAAATATCTGGTGTGAGCATTTAGGCACATTACTTTTTCTGTGGAATGCAATTCTGTACGACTTGTTGTCACATAGGTTTTTTTTCATCTTTACCTTTTTTTTTTCAAACAGATTATGAAAATATTTAGCATAACCCATGTATTTATTTGTCTGGAGGCTGTAGTGCCATAGTACATGTGCCCTTGTTATATCTGAGTGACTTAAATATTTTTGTGGCAGTGTTGTATATTTCCTGGCTAATTTGTAGGGAAAAAAAAGAAATCATCTTGCTGCTTTTAGCAAAAATTCAATAGAACGGAAGAGTAAGATCTAATATTAAGGCTTTTTTTTTTTTTTTTCCTAAGAACATATTCAGCAGTAAATGTACCAGCACATTATGGAGAATTACTATACTTACAGCTATTCTGCATGTATCTTAAACAAATGAACATTTTTTTTCCTCTCCTATTTGAAGCTTCATGTTTACTGACTTAGTAAGCAGAGCAGGGCTTTGGACTCTTAGACTATGGTGGCTGTAACAATCCTTTGCTTAATGTAGAGTGATAGTGTGAATGAACAAGGTTTTAATCTTCTAATACGGGAAGCTTTAATACGGTGCTGCCCGAATCTTACAAGAAGTTCAGGGATAGCTGAGCTGCCATTTAGGCTCATGTTAACTGTCGCCCTTCCCACTCATGGTCACGTAACTGACCCTTGGACAACCAGGATTTGCTTGCATGCTTTCCTTATGTTAATTTCGCATGTCAAGTTTTAAGCTGTGTTTTAAATTTGTCAGCTTCAAGCAAGAGGTGGTGGCCTCACGTGCACAGCAAGGGTTCTGCAGTGTGTAAAACACAATATGGGCATCTCTTTTATAGTACACTTTGCACCATGTGTGTGCTAAGCTTGGGAGTGAGTGCAGTCTTGCCTAGCTTTCCAGTGGGACTTACAATATGGCTGTGGCAGGAGTGAGGGTAGGTGCATGGCCATCCATCGTGTGCCATAAGGCTGTTTAGGGTACTCATTCCTTGTGCCAGCAGTGCTAGCTGGTGGGAGAAGAGGGTAAAATCTGTTTTGTGGGGAAGGGGCTGTTGGCAGCAAAGTGAATTAAGAGGGCTGTAAAAACTTGATAAAGATGGGACTGTCTGTTTTTATATTCTGCCACATAACATGGGTTTAAATGAATTTCCCTATAATTTGTCTTCAAATACCGACATTTAACTCTTAGACTGTATAAATGAACTGGCTTTTTCTAGAGTAAAATTCATGCCCTGCGTCCAGGCTAATATGTTCACCTACTATAAACATTACTGCCTATGGTTACAACCGGAATAAAAAATTCCTTTTATATACATCATAGCTGGCAGAGACTCCTGAGACCACCACAAATCACTTCAGCCTTTTGGTGCTCTCTGACGAAATGAACTGAAATGTAAAACAGCTCAGGCTTCAGGCAGGTTGGCTTTGGAAAGCAATTAGCTTGTTTAGACCATTGTTTGTACTGTCCTGTATTTCCAGGTGCTGAGCAAAGGTGTTCTAGGAGCTCTCTGGATCGATTTTAAACATTGGGGCTTAATAACCTCCCATTCCTTCCTGAAATGTTCTGCTTGTTCTCTGTGTAGCCTTTTCTTTAATGAAAAGAAAAACAAACAAAAAAACCTGGCAAGCCCCCTCCACGGAAGAACAAGAAATAGAAGGAAAAGAAAAAAAAAATCAGGGTCATAACAGGGAATAACAAAGCAGTGAGTTATTTATGCAGCCATGATTGGCAAAAATGATTGCAACATGAATTTGCCCAGAAGCAATGATTAGATCATAAAAATGTTAAGGAAATCTGTAACTCAACACCATTTTATAGATTGAAGAAGTTTTTGTTCCCTACCTTAATTGCAGTGACTTGTTATTAAAGTATTTATTCAGAGTAATCTCTTTGGACAGCGAGCCCTTATCCCATCTGCATGCATAATTAAAAGTGAGGGGGGAGAGAGGGGAGCATAAATGGTTTACCATGCTACATGAGCAAGGGAGGGAATTACACAATGACAGGTGAAGAGCAGATTTGTCTCCTGTTGGAATTTCAATGCTGCAAGCAAGGCAGGACACTGTTGCTTGTTAATATCCTTGCAAACACCACAGTTGCTGTTTCTCCAGATCACTGTCCAAAAATCAGTGCTGGTGTCTAAAAGGCCTGTAGCGCTGCATCTTGGCTGTGGGGTTTGGAGCCGTTGGTACTCAAGGATAGAGATTGGATTTGGGTATATGGGCTTGTGAATCCATTTCTGTGCTTAAAAATGGACTATTTACTTACTTGGCTGGCTATTTATTTATTTATAAATAAACATTGGTAGTGGCTGGCTTTGCTGAATACAAATCAGAGGGCTGTAATTGTTCCAACTGAAACAATGTCATCACCTGCCTCCTGCCTGTCCCTTTTCCAATGATAAAAGAATTTGGTGCAATTCTTCTTTTTCCACTCTCTGCATAGAAAGAAAGTTGTGCTTGAACATTCATCTCTAGGCAGATTTATCATCATTAGGCAGTACTCAAACACACACTATCTGTTTTTAAATTGAGCTGTTAGGGATCTAAATCAGATTTACACAGAGTAAGTTGGTATATATTTGATTCTAACTATTCGCTAAAGAGTGTTTTTCCTTAACTTTTGATGTCTTACCTCTGCAGCAGCAGTACAGAGAATGCCAGGAACTTCTGAGCCTTTATCAGAAGTACCTAGCTGAGCAGCAGGAAAAACTATCGCTCTCCCTTTCTGAACTCAGTGCTGCCAAGGAAAAGGAGCAGAAGGTAAGCTTTTTTTCCCCATCTCCTTTTTTTAATAACATCTTTGAAACATCTTTTCTCCTTTACTAGAATTTTAAGTGCATTGTCTTGCATTTTGCAGTGTTGAACACTGTTTCACTTCCCAGGACTCCTTCCCTTAATACATGGATTTCAGGGAAATGAACAAAAAGGCCCCTCACTTTTTGGGTCAATAAAGTGGGTGAAGTTAACTGACCACGTTGTAATGCAGTAGGAATCATAGGAACCCATGCCTTTGCTATGGAAAAAGTTAAGAAGCTGTTCTGTTTTCTGTCCTGTTTCTTAAATGGTAAAATAATTGCAGTCACTATAGATACACCCTTTCAGATTTTCACTGTGGCTTTTGATGATTGAAAAGGACATTACAGATGATGTATTTGGTCAATAAGAGCTTTCTCAAGTCTGTAAGGCAGCCCATCTGATTTGAGCTGTTTATAGAAGACCTATAATTATATATGCAGTTTAAAACCAGAAAATGTTGACTAGAGCTACAATATGTTAAATTAAGTGGTAAAATGTTTCTCAGATGAATGCTCTCCAAGCCTTGAAAACATGGTTGCTTGAGATTGATTTTTTTTTTTTTTTTTTTTTTTTTTTTTTTTTTGTTGTTTTTCCTGATAGCTAGGTACTTGATTTGCATCCCTGCTGTTAACAGATTATATCCTGGAAATGAAGGCTACTTATGCAAGTGTTCTACCTGATGTTCTTACCTGCTGTTCTCTTCCAGTAGTTTCCATCTGCAAATCTCCAGAGTCTATCCTACTTAAGGCTATGCTTTTTTTTTATAGGCTTGGTCCTTGATCCTTTGTTTTGCTGGAAGAGCCTTAAAGGCTTATAAATGGCTAGAAGTAAGGTCATCAGCACAGAGCGTCCAGAAGGTGGCCTGATTTAGGCCTCCCTACTAACAGTATTACACAGATCCTACTTCTGAGGAGTCCTGTGAAGGAACGAGTTATCTTTAATTCTGTTCAGGGAGCAGGTTGCAATACTTCTCTGACTTCATTGGCATCAGGATTGCTTTTTTTTTTTGTAAAATATGTTGTTGGACATTGAACTGTTTGTCAGGCTTTTAGGCTTTATAAACATTTTATTTCCACTCCTTTGTATTTTTATCTGCCATCCATTTTGTGATGACATTGAGTTCAAAACAAGAACCTTTTCCTCTGAGAATGGATGATGCCTGTGTTCTTGTCTGAGATATGCAACTTGCAGGGTACCTGGAAAACAGTCCAGAAGAGACCATGTAGTCCAACAGCAACATAGGAGCTGTGTTTGGGATGATGACAGTACTTCTCTCAGGTTTTGCTGTGCTTACCCTTTCACTGTTACTTACTTTCAACTGTAAATACACATATCTTAGCACCTAGAATAAAGGTATCTGGTGTAATCACATCTACAGTGCAAAAGTGTAGAAGCAGATAATAGGAAACCTTCAACCCATTAGCTGTCGAATCAACAGCTGATGGTACAGCAATCCACATTCATCTCCTCTTGTTCTTCTGTCTTCTGAATCACTCCATCAAAATATGTACAGACTTTTCTGAACTTATTTTCGGATTTCATGTGCAAAGTTCTATCAAGCTCGTGTTTTGTCCATCCCATTATTTCTTTTCTCCACTTTTGTCCACAAACACAAATTCAGATGGTATTGAGGTTTGCGTTGACATTTCAGCTATTGTTACCTAGTCTACAGCTCCAGCCTACCAGGTATGAAATTACCCTAGCCTAAGGGTAAGGGTAATTTCTCTAAGCTCTTAAGTTTTTTTTCCTTAGAGTTTGCAAAGTATTTCTAAAGTATTTTTAGTCTTCCTTTTCAATTTTCTTTCTGTGCAGTCCTGGTATTTATGAGCTCTTTATATCTTGAATGCTTTTGGCTTTACAAATTTTTACCTTTTTTCCCCCAAACAAGCACTTCTTGCTATGTTTCTCCTCACAGCTCAGAAACTGTGGAGAGATTTACAGGACTATGTCATTGTGTTTTCCCTAACACACTCATTACATGATCGCTATCAAAACTGAGGAAGAGTCACTGGGCTGCTTCTTGTTGGGCTATTGTGTTATTTTCACACACCTTTTTTTTGTTGCTGTCTTTTTGTCTCTTGTCTTAATACCTGAAGTGTGATCTCTTAGCACCATGATCGGTCTCTTCTTGCTCTGCTTGAGTGTTGTCGTAACACAGTAGTTCAGGCAGGCATAGGGCTTGCATTCTGGTGTCTGCCTCGATGGGGAATGCCACAGGGGAGATGCAGAGAGAGGGGTTTTTTGGGAGGTAAGAATTGCAAGAGGGACAGACCAAGAAGACTTTCCTCCTGTCTGAATGCAGCCCTCACCAGGTCTCTCTGCACTGCTGAAGCTCTTGTGTTCTCCTTTTTGTTTTAATCCATGTTTTAAGCCACCTTACCGAAATAATAGGCTAAAGGAAGTCTTTGTGAGTTTTGTTTGAATGCTGATCCTTTGGGAGTCTTTTTGCTATTGTTTGTTTTTGGCTGGGCTAAGGAAATCCTGGATAGGCTTTAAATCAATAGATGCTAGCTTGTTACCTAGTTTTCACTTCTTTGAACTGTCTAGGAGTGGTAATCAGTGTTTCCTATTTCAGGTGACTGCTGATGCTACCAGGGCATCTGTGCTTCAGCTTAAGGTGTCGTTCTGATTTTCCTGTGTCTTGCAGAAACATGAGGCTATACAGTTATATACTGTACTGAAGCACTTCTTTGTTCTGTCTGTTAGGAGATGTTGTTTTTGTTTGTTTTCATTTTCCCCTCTTTTTCCTACTTGATTGTTTTGATTCATTTCTATTGCTACACCTATATCTTAACATCCTTTGCTTTTCACTTGTCTGGCTCCCTTGCTGTTACTGTATAATGCTGACCATGAGCTGCCACTTTCCTTTGGGCTTCAGTAGGTATTTGAAAGCATCTCCTTTCACTGGTTAAATGCTGGGCTTTGTATTAGAATATGACAATTAACAGGTCAAGAGAATGGCAGCAAACATCTGTGGCATCGTTGCAAAAAGAGATGGAGTTGTATTAGAGGCAAAAAACTGCAGTAGACATATGCATGTGGCTGAAATGCAACTATATTGAACTAATGCAGATACTTTGGTCTTAACTTTTTGGGGGTCTGTTTTGATGTCACCTAAAGGTAGCAATAATTTTGAAACCATGTTTTCTTCTTAGCTAATATTGCTTCTTTATAACAAAAGTCAGCCCTCGAAATTTAAAGAAACATTCTGGTAGTAGTGAAATAAAATTGCTGGGAAGGTGGTGGTGAGATGATTTAAGACTGAACTCTCATGGAGTCAATAATCAGTAACTGGAACATGGAGCTTCCTTTTTTTGTGAGATAAAGTTAATTCCATTTGAAAAGATACTTAAGGTGACATGAATTGAATTATTCAAACTGGCCTTCTCAGCATTAACTCTAGGTTAATATCTCATGATGCCTCTGGTTTCATTATAGGAGTTTTAAGTACATAACTTTTTATAATAAATTCAATACCTAGAAGCCGAACTGAAATTGGTTTACCTTCTACCAACCCATAAAAAGAAGCATTAATTGTAAAGTGAATATTAAAGTGGTCACTAAAGTTGACTCAGACAGATTCAGAGAGATAGCTCGTGTGTAAAGGAAGAGCTCTGCTGAACAATAGGCTCCTGCCCTGACAGTAATAGAAAATACCATCCATATTAAAATGTAGTTAAACCTCTTCTATCAGAAATGATTTTTGGATGTTCTCTCTGCAGCTTCCAAATGTTCAGTCTTTGCCATTTTCAGAAGCTTTACACGGAGTTTTTATTGCCCTTGTTTTAGGTGATCAGGTCTGACCTAGTTGCAAAGTCAGTACTTCACTGCCACCTCTAATAGTGGCAAGAATCCAGTTTACACTGGCAAGTCTCTGGCTGATGAGTCTGTAGATGTTCTGCAGTGTAAGGTGGGACTTGAGTCACAAAAGTTGGATTCATGGCTGAGTTTCTTCAGGACTGGGATTCCTGAGCTACTTCACCTAAAAGAAAGATAATACCTGTAGTCTCAGCATTGCCTATTTATGTTAATCTTTGAATTTACACGTGCAGCTGGCAGCTTTTGCTTCTTATTTGTGGAAAATTACCAATGCATCTGTTAATTCCCTTGATTTACGTAGATTCTTGTTGTGTGTTTCTTTTAAGCTTTGGTTCTCCCTCCCAGTGTAAAAATGGCACAGATACGGGGTGGGATTTTAGACAGAAAGAAATACCAATAACTCATTTCCAGTGGGATGTCTGCTCTCCCTTCTTCTTGTGTATTATGTTGTCTGCCTCCTGTTTGGTGTTTTATATTTTGGTAATGCCAGAGGCCCTCATCAGGAACAAGGTACTGTTGTGTGCTAAACACTATGCATGCATACTGAAAGACATGGTCTGCTTTGAGAAGATCGTAAAATCTTAAGATTAACATTTGGGAGAGGCTATTTCTTTTTTTTATGTTTTTTGTTTACCTTTTTTCTGTTAGTATTTCCCTTGAACCTCTTGTTCATCTTAAAAATCATTGATACAGTTGTGGTGTCTTTTCACAAGTCCAAAGGAAGCCTTCTCCTGCAAGCACTAGAAAGCGTTGCTTTCTTTTTGTGTCAGTGACTAACATTCTTGTCCGTATCATTGTAATTTTTTTGTTGTTATAAGGGTGATTACATACTAAATCTTCAAACATTGGTTATTTGTTTTGGTTTTTGTTTGTTTCTTTGAAAAGGATATTGAAACAAGTCGATCTTCAGGACACCTTTCTCTTCTGATTGTTCCCAAACTTTCCCAATCCTCTGTTTTTTTTTCAGCACGGGTCACCTTTAAATACATACTTACTTGCTTAAGGAAAAAAAGAAAATCCCAGATATGCAAAGGGTTTTGAATGCTGTAAGGTAAACCTGCATGATAGAATTGACTTTGTCTGTTTACCCAGCTGTATGGGAACAATGGATGAGCCCATCTGAAAGATACTTGAGAACTGGGATA